CCCCACCATCACTAGAAACTTTTTCTTGTCTGACTGGCAAATGATCCACCTCTGAATTCCTGTTTTCTGGCTTTAATCTGCACAACTGTTCCTGGTAACAATGCCTTAATCTGGGTTCTTCTGAAAGCAAGGTCTAAAACCAGTGCAAATAGTTTATTTGGAAAGTGACCTCAGAGGGTAAGAGTGAAAGACCAGGGGAGTGGAAGGCAGAGGAAGGCCAAGTCAGTGAAAGGATGCATTACCAACTCCATCCCCACCGTGGGCAACTGGTGCTTGATTCTGCTTGGATGTTCTGAGGAGCATGGAGGATGTATGTTGGAGTTGTGGGTTGAATGATGAAAGTGAATAGCATTGGTCCATTGGCTATTATCTGTCATTACTGAGGGTTGTTCAAAGGCTGTTAACTTCTCTGCACTTCTGGTTTGCATCTTTGTGAGTGCTAAAGTGGCTCCCACTGATGTCCTGTGTCCTGGTGTCAGAGGAACTCTGAAGTAGAAAGTGAGAGTAAGGCTCATGCTTGAAGTGAGGGACCATCAGTGGGACATAGAAACAACTGAGGAACTGCTCATCATAGCTGGGCTGGAATCAGGTGTGAGGCTACAAGACTATGAGGTCATAAACAACAAGGATCTCATGTCTGCAATTAAGTGATTCAGAACCAATTAACTCTAGTGTTATAAAATAAGGATTTCATCAGCCTGTTATTTGACAATACATTCTGAGAGAAGGAAAATGAGAAATCACCTCCCAGACTGATGGCCATGCAGCTATTCCTTCTCCTCCAGTCTCTTCTGGGGATTTGGGCATACACGCACATGCACCTTGCATGATTTTCAAGCCACCAGGTCTGGGACTCAAACTGCACAGTCAGCCATGTGGATCCAGTGCCTTAGCCTCCACATTACCTGCTGGCTTAATACTCATAACAATATTGAAAGGTAGGCCTTACCCCATTCCATACTGGAGGAAGCTTGAACTCAGGAAAGTTAAATGACTTGTACAAAAATGTGTAGTAAATAATGAGAAAGAATGAACTCTAGTCTGTATGTCTCTGAAGTCTGTGCACTGGCCAGCATATTACCTAATCCTTTTTTTTTCTTTTTAAAAGAATTATTTATTTAATGAGATCCATTTATTATTTATTATGATTATTTTTTAATTTGATGAGAGAGAGAGAGAGAAGGGGAAAGTGAGAAAGCACGCCACCAGGTCCAGGACCCAAACTGTGGTCTGTGATATGAGAGTTTCCCGATCACCACACCACTTGCAGGCCCCTTACCTAATCCTTTTAATGGCTCCTATTAAGTCATCCCACATGGAACACTCCTTATGAGAGACACTTCTAGCTACTGGCTACCAAAATGATGAGAAATAGTGAAGCTATTTCTTCATTGAGCTATTTATCTTGCTGTGAGACATTTTAATTAAAGATTTTGTGAAAACTGGGCAGATTGTGAAATACTCACATAGTGGTTATTTTTCTTTAGGGGTTCATTTGTCTAAATGGATGCCTGAACTTATATGTTAAAGGATATAAAATGTGAAGAGTTGGGGTGAAACTCAGCTTGGACTCAACTTGTTTGTGAAACTTCCGATTCTGGAAACTAGTATCCTATATAGTCAGAATTATTATCTTGAGCCATTAACTTTGTTTAGCATCTACTCTGTATTACACCATGATTTTATTAACATCTAATCACTCTTGGTTAACTCATTAGGCATGGATAAAGCACAATTTATTAGAGTTTAAGGCTGATAGATTAAATCTACTTCTATAATCTATTTTTTCCCCCCCATCGACATTGAAAGAGACTTAATATAATGATCTCAGTCCAACTAAATTGTTTATTATAGTGGATTATGGGTGAACAAATTAAGGGATCTAGATCTTTAATAATAAAAATCATTTATAGTAGCAGTACTTCTGTAAATGGATATTTTGCCTATTAAAATATAATTTGAAAGTAAAATACACTGCTGCAGATAATGACTCATGTTACAAATAATCAATTTGGATGCAGATACAAGATTTTCCTGGCATATAGTAAATTAAACACTTCAGCAAATTTGTCAAACTGAAAAAATCTCAACCATGTGTACTTTGCTTTAATGATCTAGGAATACAAAGTATTTTGTTTCTTTAGTTCAGTTTAGAGTGAGTGCAAGAATAGCTTCACAAAGAAAGTTTCCAGGGTTTTCTCAGGAAAAGGAGGTAAGAGCAGTTAGAAATACCAGCACTTGGGACCAGCAGATGGCTTAATGGTTACACTGCTGTACTCCCATATAGTGGACTATGGTTTGAGTCCCAAACCCAATTTCTTAAAACTCTCACATGGGTGTGCGCCCTAGATCCAGAGAGGAGAATGAAAGAGAAAGGATTGCAGCATGGCCCTCCCTCCTAGGAGGTGGCACACACACCCTACAGCAAAACATCTCTTAAAAAAACAAATAACACTCAGTTAAACCAATTATTTATTATTTCCCCCGTTGAAGATAACTTTATAGTATTATACAGTTGGAATATTCACTTTGCAAGCTAAAAATGTGATTGAATGTATAAAAGAACTTGAAAAAAGAAATAATAATAAAAAAGGAAAAAAAGAAAGGAGGCTGGGAAGAGAGGCACTGTATTGTCATTATTGATTTGGCCACCCATACTGATTTCCAAAGGCAAGGTTACTGCTGACCTCAAATAAAATCAGGGTACTATTTAGAAAGAAAGGGCTGAATACTGGTTCCACCTCAAAGGTTTTCGTATGTTTTGGCCAGCAGTATGATCTGGTTTTGGCTTAGCAGAGAGTAGAAAGTTCATTGAGGAAGAGAAATTCCTGGGAGTGGCTTTGACCTGGCCACAAGGTTAGGGAACTCTAGTGTTTTTTGCTGGAGTGCGATTTTTTCCTTCTGAGATTCAATACATGGCTTCGTTACTATGCCAAAGTTAATTATCTTTCAAAGTGATCTTCAGTATGCCATTAGCTTCTGAGAAAGAACAGTTTGATTATTAAGAAGATTGAAGCTGATAAGCTACTGATGAGAACCAATGGGCTCTCTGTAAGCTCATTTCTACAAAATGACACAGCCTTTTCACCCTAAGAAAAAGAGATGTACTAAGAAGACAAGGAAAATTAGTGTCTTTCCTACAAACAGAATTTCTTCCTTTGATTCTACCATAAAATATTGCTGTCCACCTAATAGTTTGCTGTTAAAATTTCAGGAATTACTTTCTGGAAATCTATAATTATTGAACCCAAGTGGTTGTTAATATTTTATTGATGAAATAGCAGAGCAAACTAAAACTAATAAAAGCTGATGGAGATCACCATATTTACCAGCGTAATTTTCCTATATAAGTATCCGTCATTAAAATAAGAAAGGAGGAGGCTGTATGGTCTCCTGATTCTGACAAAGGTGGACCTTAATATTGTCACCTGAATCTCATTTACCTGAAATTTCCCATGGCAAAGTAAATCCTGTGCTTAGAGGCAGGGGTAGACTAGTTTAAAAAGGCTTAGAATCCTTGCTGAGAGGAGACAATGAATTGTGGTCATTGTTAACTCTTCAACTTAAGTAAAGATTGGGTTAGACTGGTTCACATCTCTTTGGGAAGTCTAAAGTTTTAGAACTTTAAGGTTTAAAATTCAACTTCTGAGCTATTTGAAGACTATTTTATCCTCCAAGTTATGCATGGTGGAATATGAGAAAGATATAAAAGATGCAAACAAATGTGGTAATCAGGAACAGACTCTCCCTCCCCATTTTCTTACATGTTAGGTAAAACCCAGAGTGCCTAACAGAGTAAGATTCTGGGGGAACCAATGTAGTCATCTGAAATAGGAAACACCTATTGTAATTCATAAAAACTTCATTGTAATAACCTTCGTCATTAGGTGTTCGTTCTAAAGTCATTCAAAAGGAAAAAGAACATGTTGTTCAGATGTAGTGAAAAAAAAAAGAAGGCAAATCCTTTTAGATTAAGTTATGAGATTTTTTTATTATTAAACCCATTTTATAAATGAGTTTTCCATTTGACTTAAACCAACCATTTTGTTCTGCAAAAGTCTGAATTGTTGTTTAGCATTTTAAAATTCAGTATTTCCCCAGAGTACTCTCTCTCTCTGTGATTAGAGGGAGAATTTTAAGTTCTTTTGGCTACAGACAGGTGTATAGAGAAAAAAAAAAAAAAACAACCAACAAACTGAAAGCATCTTGGCACTGCTACCTGTCATATTAGGTAAGTCCATTACCTTCCTGTGATTCAGTCTTTTCCTCTGTTATATGATTAGGTTGGGCTAAATGGTCTTTGCACTCATTCTGTCTTAGTCAGCTTGAGTCATTATAACAAATACCATAGACTGGATGGCTTAAACAACAAACAGTTATTCTCACTGTTCTGGAGGCTGTAAGTCCTACATCAGGACGCCATTGATTTAGTTACTAGTGAAGGCTCTTTTCCTGGTTTGCAGATGGCCACCTTCTTGCTAATCCTCACATGATAGAGAGATGATCTCTCTTGCATCTCTGCTAATAAGGGGACTAATCCCATTCATGAGAGTTCCACCTTTATGACCCAATCATCTACCAAAGGCTCTGATCTCCAAATGCCATCACACTGGGAGTTTAAGGCTTCAACATATGAAACTGGGGGAAGAGAAGGCACAAACATTTAATACATAGCACCTTTCCAGTACCCGTATTTGAGCATTCCAAGTGTCTATGACACATGCCTATATGGTCAAGGGAGGTAATTTAAAGATGGGCAGGTGCAAACTAAGGCACACTGAGGAGTGCCAGGCTGAGGGACATAGCTATTACTTAGCTCAAGTCCACACATGCTGGCAGGGCTGCAAGTCTAATAAAATGAATAAGTTAGTTAATTTTTTTTTTTAGTTAAAGTTTATTTATTTAATTTTTTCATGAAAGAGTGAAAAGAGAGTAAGGCTTCCCCAACAGGGTCTCCAGACCATGATTCTCCCCTAAGTCTCAACCAGCTGGGACTACAGGAATGTGTGAGCACTCAGCAATGTACAGAGAGACCTCAGGACACAAAACCAGGATCTTCCTTCAGCCCCAGGTAGCATTTTGTTACAGTTGTGTCACTGAAGCTGGTCAAAACTTTCAGTTTTAAAATGCTGGTATACTAGTCAGGGTTCTTCAAAGATACGACCAATAGAATATTTCTGTCTATCTATCATGTATCCATTAATCTTCTAAAAGAATTGGCTCACATGATTATGGAAGCTGGTAAATCCATAATCTGCAGGTGTTGTCAGGCAGATGGTCCAGAAGAACTGATGCTCCACTTTGAGTCTGAGGCCATCTGCTGTAGCACCAGGAAGAGCCAATGGTGCAGATGAAGTCCGAGCATTGTCTGTTGGGCAATTCTCTCTTGCTGAGGGTAGCTGGCCTTTTCGTGTTATATAGGCTCTTTCTTGACTGGTTTGATGAGGCCCACGCATATTGAGAGCAATCTTTTTTACTCAAAATCCATTTAATGTAAATTGTATCTAAAAACAAAGTCATAAAAACACTCAGAATAACATTTGATCAAATATCTGGGCACATTGTAGTCCAGTCATAGTGACATATAAAATTATCATATCTGGAAAACAATGATAAAAAACCCCCAATGTGGGCCAAAGAAAATATGATGTAACTCCCAGTGAATTCATAGCCTCAGCTCTTTAAATAGGCATGGTCAAACAAGTAGATAAGGATTTTGATGAGCTTACGACAGAGACTTATGGAATTTCTTTTCATATAAACTATTCAACATTATTTATTTTTAATTGCCAGAGGCTGTGTACACTCACCAGAGAGACAGAAAGAGAGAGGAGAAAACACTCCCCACTAAGGTGTGGTTACCTGTAGTCCTTTCTCCTCCATTTATCCATCCTCTTGCTATTTGGGGCATGCACGTACATGTACCTAGCATTTTCTTCAAGAGGCCATGGCGGGGAACCAGCAGTTACGTAATGGCTATGTCACTGGACTCCCACGTAGTTGACCGCGGTTCGCGTCCCGGACCCAGTGGCTTAAAACTCACACCGGGCGCGTGTGCGTGCGTGCCCAAGATCCCGAGAAGAGAATGGAGGAGAAGGGATTGTGGCGTGACCATTCCCCCTGGGGGATGATTTCTCGCTTTCTGTCTCTATGTCTCTCTCTGTCTATCTGGCGAGCGCACGCACCCTATAGTGAAAACCTCTCAAAAATAAAAAAAAGAGGCCATGGCCAGGATTTGAATCATGGTTGGCTATGTGGTATCTGGCTTCCTGAACCACCTGTAGGCAATGAGGCCTACCCTGATGTCTTCAACTGTGTATTTTCCCAAGGATAATGGATAGTAAAGGGCACTTACAGTAGGGTGACTATCCAATGAATGAAGAAGGAAAAATGTGTGAGACAAAGGGCCTTTTGTTTATGGTTGCAATGTTGGCACACACAGTGCCAGGCACTTAGCAGATGTGCAATATATATTGATTGAATGAAATAAAAGGGATCGACTCAACTGGTCAGACATTTAGTGATCATCTGCTGGAGGTAAGGCACTTCACTGGGTGCTGCTGGTTATTTGAAGATCCATAAGACACACCTTTGACTAAAGGCACTTACAGTTTACTAATGTATGTACAGAGAAATTCTAAGATATTCTCCTTTCTCTTGAGGAACAATAAACGATGAATATATTATGGGCAATGGTATTATATACTTAACCATCTTTTTTTTCTATTTTGGTCTGGTTTTCTGGAAATTCAGAGCTAAACTTCCTGTCCAAACTTGTCAGATGTATAGCGGCATATAGTTTATGTGTCCTCTATTCCTTCTCCACAGTGCTTCCTCCTGCTTCTTTAGAAAATGGCTCAGAGAAACCAAGGACCTTGCTAAGACCATGTAGCTTATTTGGTGACTGAGTGAGAACTAGATCCCAGATATTCCTTTTGTCTTATTAGTGTCTAAACACTCCTATAAACCAATATATCCCATTTTTCTGTTACAAAAAGTTGAAATTGATACGTACCTAAAATTGCGAAGTATTGCTAAAGATGACCCTCAGTGTTAAAGGTACTGAGAGGGACCTTTTCCTGCTAGTTATTCAATAAGCACAGTGAAAGTGTCCTGACCTTGAATTAAGCTGTAGGTTTGTGCAGATGGTGCTGAATGTCTGTTCATATGGCTGTTGTTGGCTCAAAGAGGGTGTCATGTTTGGCCCAGTCCACGTACTGAACGAACAAAACAGATTAAGCACAATAGCAATTTTAAATGACTGCTTACTCATTGTTCAAGCGTGATGGCTGCTTTATTTAATCTTCATAGCTTTCCTCTGAGCAAGTTATGCTGCTTGAGGAGTCACTGAAAGGAAACATTATCATAAGGGCATCTCCCCTCAAAGACAGGAACAAAACACATTTTTACAAAGTCTGTCCAGGTTCTGTTTACTGGCTAGGCCAGCTGGGTTCCCTTGGGCAACTTTGTAATTTGAGGAGAATGGAGAGCCCCGTTCAGAAACTACATTTGGCCATCCAACAAGTCACACAACTACCTAAGACCTAATCTTTCCAGAACACTTTTCAGTGACATTGAGCATGTATTTGTTGACAGCTTATTATTTTCGATTGTTAGCAATTATCTTGAAGTAATCACAAGCAGCGTCATTCCTATCTTTATTTATGAAAATAACTTCTCCATTTGAAAATATTTGGCGGTCACCTCTTATAGGTCAATGACCAAATTCCTTGGCTTGACATGGAAAGCCCCTTTGCCATCTCTTCATTCTAAAGCTTGTATCCCTTAAGCTTTAGTCAATTTGGATTCATTCATTCAGAAAATATTTGGGCACCCCAGGCAGGACCTGACACTGTATTATGAATCAAACATTCTGCTTAACCATATGGACCCCACTGCCAAAACCCTCTTTCAGATACTCCATGGTTTGTCAACCCTGTGTTTTGGCTCTCTCTCTCTTTCTTGCCTGCAATATCCTCCCCTCATCCTCTCGTCAGAACACGATTATCCCTCAAGACCACCTCCTCTGAGGTTGTTCTTGATCCTCCATCCTCCATATGTTTCTATGGTACTTATCCCATTGAATACTATATCCCTGCCTGCTTTTAAAACTCAGATTATACAAAATTCCCAACTATAAACTCCCCATGGATAGGGATCCTATCTCATTCACCTTTTAATCTTAACTGCCATATGAAGGGATGAACAGAGATTTTCTAGATAGTGACACCATCTTTGGCCTCCTAGTCCTGTGGCCAGCCTCCTAATTTCCCACATATTTCCCCCCCTTATTTATAGGGAGTAATGTTTTCACCAAATTTCAGAAAACATTCATTACTCATGATGTGAAACTCTTAGGATAGCTTGACAGAAGTCAATCTGTGGAAAATTTCCCTGTTCTTAATGAATCATTCACTGAGAAATGAGAGTTAAAAAAGTTCATAAAAAAGTACAAGTTAATTTTTGTGCAAAATTAAAAAAAATTGTAATTTTTTCATATGTATTTTCCATGAACTTTTTGAAGCCCCCCCTCCCCCATATGGGGTTAATGTATACTTGAGTTTTGAGTGTGTTAACTTGTTAATGATTATTAGTTTTTTATTCACTTATACTGAAAAGAAATTTTGGCTATTTTTATTTCTGTCTTTTTTATTTACTTTTAAAAGTTTATTTTGGGACCAGTGGATAGTATAATGGTTACATTGATGCACTCCTATGTAGTCAAAAGTGGCTGGAGGCCCAGACCTGGCAACTTGAAAGTTGTACTGGACATGCATTCATGTGTGCCCAAAATCCCTAGAGGAGAATGGAGGAGAAGGTATTGGCCATTCCTCCAGGGCGTGATTTCTTGGTTTTCTGTCTGTATCTCTGTCTCTCTGGTGAGCGCATGTACCCCATAGCAAAAATTTCTCTCTAAAAAATATTTAAAAATTAAAAAATAAAAGTTTGTTTGTTTCATGGCTAGCATATGGCATGGTGGTTGGGGTGCTGGACTCCCACACGATTGACCATGGTTTAAGTCTCAGACGTGGCAGCTTGCTTTGTCACTTTCCCACTCTCTCTGCTTCTCTCTGATGAATGTTTGTATCAAATTGAAAAAAAAATGATGATGAATAAAAATAAATAAATAATTCTTTAAAAAGTTTATTTCTTTCATGTATGTGAGAAACAGAGAGAGAAACAGAATGAGAGACAGAAAGTCAGAGAGAGAACACCCAAAAGGGGTCCTGATGCCATGATCCATCCCCTGTCCCAGCCATGCCCAGGTCATGGGCACGTGTGTGCCTGGCATAAAGTGAGGTCTTTGGATATAAACCTGGAACCTTCCCACGTGGACCAGTCTCACAGAGCATTATACTTACTGCTGTGCCACCACCTAACTTCTCTGTTTATTTCACTTATCTATTGATCTATCTATCTATCTATCTATCTATCTATCTATTTATTTTATTTGGAGAGGTTTTTACTATAAGGTGTGTGCACTTGCCAGAAAGACAGAGCAAGACAGAGAGACAAAAGGCAAGAAATCATCCCCCAGGGTGCATGGCCACACCGCAATCCCTTCTCCTCCATTCTCCTCTTGGGTTCTTGGGCATGCACGCACACACATCTGGGAGTCCAGCGACAGCCATTATGTCAACTGCTGCTCCCACCTCTGTTTATTTTTACTTTAAGCTTTCAGCCACTGCTTTGGGAGAGGGAAAATAACTTATTTTCTTCCAAGAGAATAAAACAAATGCTATGTGGAGGGCAATCACTAAAGGATCTTACTCATATGGCTGCTCAAATGACCTGGCTATTAAGGCAAAACATCCTTTTCATTTCAAAAACAATTGACGAGATCTGAGTGCTTTTTAATTGTAGTGCTAGCAAAATATGTTAATACTAATGAGCATAAATTCAACTATTTTAAAAAGGGAGGTGTTGGGACCAGCAGTTTGTGTAATGCTATGTCGCTGGACTCCCACATAGTTGACCACGGTTCGCGTCTTGGACCCAGCAGGTTAGACTCATGCCGGGTGTGTGTGCGTGCGTGCCCAAGATGAGAGGAGAATGGAGGAGAAGGGATTGCGGCGTGGCCATCCCCCCTGGGGGGTGATTTCTTGCTTTCTGTCTCTTTGTCTCTCTCTGTCTGTCTGGTGAGCACACACACCCTATAGCAAAAACCTCTTCAAAAAAAAAAAAGAGGGAGGTGTTTATTTCTGTTCAGTCTTAAACAAAAGGTAGGACTTTTCCTTAATAAGGCCATTGTTGTATGTTTACTTAATGCATTAATTCAACCATTGAATTATATATGATTATATATGATTTATATATGATTATATATAATTTTCTTGTAAATTATAGATTACATTATTTTCTTGTATTGAATTATATGATTTTCTTGTAAATTTTTAGCATTTTAGGGATTGGAGCTTTAAACTGCAGTGGTATCTCTATGTCTCTATCTTTATCTACTTATGTGTATATATACATATACACCTACCTACCTACCTGTCAACCAATGTGTTCTGTTTATATTCGACCACAGTGTATGGTTAGATGTTTCACTAATTAATTTTTCAGAGTGTAGGGTTTTAATAGAACTCATGAATTAGTTTGCTCACCAATTCTTTGAAGAATTATAGAAAATGGAAGAGATGCCAAATTATTGGAACAAATTTCTGAGCAAATTTGATTCTTTCACAATAAAAGGAGAATCTTGTCTGCAAACCAGATTAGTGCCCTTGAGACTAATACTGAGAGGACTCTAGAATATATTAATAAAAAGTAGTTGCTGAATATTTAGCAAAGAAAGTGGTAATCACAAAGATTCCCAAGGGCACATCAACAATATATTTCATTAAGCTAATGTTCCTTCCTATTTGCTTTATTAAATAGGATCCTTCATTAGACTTTGTTTCCTGATCAAATATATGCCACCTTACCTTTTACCATCATTTTTGGAGCTTAGAATACCCTTTCTTCCCTTTCCTTCCAACCGAGAGCTTATTCACTTATCAGGACACAACTCAATGTTCTAGTGATGACCTTTCAAATCCCCATCAGTACTAAGTACAACTTCTCATTGTTCCCATAAAATTAGAGTAGTGTATCTACTCCCCTTTTTTCATTCTGCATTATATTTTAGTGCTTACCTAACCTGTCCTCTGTTTATTGAAGACAAAACTTGCTGAACTCTGCCATGGCCTTCCTCTAGGACCTTAGAAGCTCATACTAACCAGGGTTGCTTTTACCCAAGGTTCTATTATAATATCATTTTCTTTCAGCTTCTAATTAGAAAAGACTAGCTGTTGAGTTATTCCTGTTCTTTTATTCTCTTATCTTCTAAGGAATGGAACTATGACAGCAGGAAGTTCCAATATTGGTCAGAATCTCTACTTCAGCAAAATAGAACTTCCATCCTGAATCTTGTCTCATGCCAGAATTGTGATTCACATTTGGAACTCACATCGTCTGTTTCCTCTTTATGTCTGGAGAGCTGCTACATTCTGCCATTACTTTATCTTGATAGTATTTATCAAAAGAATATCCTCTGGTTTAGGCATATCTTCTTTACATCAGGAATATTTTCTGCTTCATCTTAAAACCTGTTTCTCTCATCAAAATGGAAAATAACATTTATTTGCTCATCATTCAATAAACATTTACTAAGCACGAGTACATACTAAGCACAAGGATACGAAAACAAATAAGGTAACTTCTCTGTTCCTTAGGAGCACTGGGACCTGTCAGCAAGATCAGTTCTCAAAAGGAACATTTCAATATAGTGTTCTAAGGCAGTGCCAAATGGAGCCACAGACCTCATGGGAACCCTTAGGGACAGTTCTCACTGTGCTTTGGTGGTGGTATAGGATGCAAGGTCTTAAGGAGTTGTCACATTTAAGTCTTCACATCTGAGTAGATATTAGTTCTGAGTAGGAACTAGCTACATAAATGTGGGTGGGAGGGTATAGGAATGAGAAGGATATTCTAGGTAGAGGGGAAACCATGAACCATGTGGAGACAGAAACATCATCAAGTTGGCTAGGAACTGTAAGCTATTTGGTGTTAGAATGTAAAGTTTGGTCAGCAAGCATCAAAAGATGAGGCTGGAGATAGAATATCAGGTCAGCTCTTGGAGGGTCTTACAAAGTCTTGTAAGTTCAGCCACAAGGCTTGGCAGTGTTCTTGTCCTGAGTTCAACCCCAGGAACTCTCAGTACTGACTCTATTGTTACATATCTCTCTATGAGTTAAACTATTAAGTTTTCTTCATCTATTTTCCATAGGTACATGAAGCTGGAGACAGCTTGTATTGATGGCAGAATTTCTAGGAATCCTGGTGGTTGTTAAACACAGATATTAAAAAACAAATTAGGTGAACATAAATTTAATTAAACACAAAATAAGAAATATTCAAAACACACTTCACTTTATAATTATTTTATTTCATTTTACTGTACTGTATGAGAGCATGTATATTCTTAAATTTACTTATGTCTGTTGTTCCTATATGGTAGAAATATTATATATGATGGTAGTTTTCTTTTCAACTCTGTATTTATAACATCAAATTGGTAGTTCAAAGTTGACCATGGCGGGAATATTTACACCATAAACATCAGTAAATGTTGTAGGTCAGAGTTTGATTTATTATTTTGTTGACTATCTAGATTTAAGAAATGATGGAGTAAATGTAAGTAATGAAGATAAATATAAAAATGTATTGTGTCTATACCTATTACAGTGTGACTAGCATAAAAAAATTGAGAAAATATTCTTCCAGTATTTGAAAACTATTTTCCAATTCAACAAAGAAGTCATTCACATCACTGAACAATGAGCAAAGTTTCAGCTTATGTCTGTTTTTTTGCCTTTGTTCATGCCTTTTAATGTAAATGAAAACCAGAATTTATGCCAGAACTGTGCTTATTTGCCATTTGCAACCATATGGTGGATACAGGCACAAAAGTTCAGCAAAAAGTCAACAAAAAGGTTCTACGAGAGTCAATTGGCTATATGGAATTTCTAATAAAGAATATTGTATATTGAATAATTATTTGTACATTTTAAGCTATGCATATTTTATATCAATAACATTTTAAAAATAAATAATACATATATTATTTTTCTTAACTGGTTGTTGAATATTCACCAACATACTATGGTCTAAATTTATCCCTAACTTCCATCTAACTTATTTCCTTACGTTAATTACTGAGTACTTGTCTTAACCCACTTTTGCTGAGCTGTTACAACAAAATACCACAGACTGGGTAATTTTAAAAACCCAGCAATTTATTTTCTCACCATTCTGGAGACAGAGAAGTTCAAGATCAAGGCTCTGGCAGACTTGGTATCTGGTAAAAGCCCTGTCTCCAATCCAGATGGCACCTTGAATGCTGTCTCCTCTGGAGAGGAGAGACGTTGTTTCTCATGTGGCGAATGGCAGAAGAGAGAGAGAATCCACTCCTGCAAGCTCTCTTCCACCAGGGTATCATTCCATTTAGGAGGGCAAAGCCCTCCTAACGCTTCCTATTAAGTACCACCTACCAACACTGTTACATTGAGGTTTAAGTTTCTAACACATGAATTTTGGGGATGCATTCCAATCATGCCAGTACTACCCTACAATTATTTCTGTTTTGTTTTTCTATGTGATAGGCAGAACATCCCATCATATTTGGGCATTTTCTCTCTCCTACTTACCTTTTAGTTTTAATCACTCTTAGTCATTGACAATTTTCTGAGAAAATGTCTCCTCTCTCTCTTTATGACATTCATCATGACCAAAGAGCCCATTATTTTATCACCAGGTTCAAAAAAGGAAATTTATTTTGCAATACCTCTTGTAGCTACTTGTTCACATTCCTTTTTCATTCAAATCCCCAACTCTCACTCGTAAGTTGAAATATATATATATATATATATATATTCCACTTAGGTTTCCAAGTCTTCCGGCTTCTCTCCAAAGACTTCATAGTCATGTGAGATGTTTTCTGTGCCTCTTATAGCAGAATCGGCAACCTCCACATGAATTAGTACAAGTAGGGAGAAGGTAACTGTTATGTTCTCCATTTTTTCCATTGTACAGAGGACAACTAAGGGAATATGTCAAGGTTAAGCTAACCAAATTTTTGTCATTCCAAGGAAGCTGTCATTGATGATGGAGTATTTCTCACTACTGGCCAAGAAACAGGGCCTTCTAAAACCAGTCTTCTTGTCATAGGGAGAATTATTGATCGCTGAATATTCTCCAGGAAGTGCCAATGTCCTCCCAAAGAAACAGCCTCAGACTGTTGTGAAGCTTAATTGCTCCAGTCTCCTCTCATCTTCTTGGTCATGTCCTAGTCACCAGTCTCTTCACAGGCTTCTTGTTGTTATCAGTTTCTTGGTTATTTTAGGTCTCAGCTTAGGGATCTTGTTCTTCAAGAAGTTTTCCCTAGGTGGTGGTGCTCCCACCTTCTCCTGAAGCACTCCTGGCGGTACCCTGGTTACAGAAGTGGTGGCATTGCAGTATAACTGCCTGACTTCTAAGTTCTTTCCTGTGCTGCTCTGGGAGGGCAGAGACTGTGCGTCCTTTCTCTATGACTTTATCTCCAACCTCCTGCACAGTACCTCTTGAAAGACTGGCATTCAATATATGTGTACTGAATTAAGCAGTAAGTGATACAGGAAATTTTAAACATAATATGTTTATTAATTTTCTCTTGCTTTCTCTTTAGCTCATCATGTTGAATGTAGATGGAGATTCTGCTACTTCTTGAATAGAAAGGTCAGCTCTGACATATATAACTATACTTTGCTTATGGTAAGAAGAAGGCACAGCACAAGACATTGTTGGCTTTTTGTTTAAGTAAGAACAGAGCTCTTGGAAAGAAGAGGCCTACATAAAAAGCCAGTATCTATATTCTAGGTGTCAGGGATAAAGGCTCATTATACGTTTAGCTTAGCTCCTTATATTCTGATAAAATTTCTTTACTATCTAGTTTGAATGTTGATGGTAAAGTAAATGATTATTACTGGTTTACCAATGGCTTTCTATACTCAGCTGTTATTCACTAAATTCCAATAGCAGATGTAATAAAGTAAGAAATGTAGATGGCTCAGCCAAGAATTTCCAAAAATTCCCCCTCTGTCTGCATTGTTGCTACAATTTAATCATAGGGATTTATGGACAACAATTGGACACCACAAACCATTTGTCCTAAATTTAAAAGCCGTATTTCCAAAGTGTGGAAACGCTGATATCAGAATCCAAGGGATCCTTGTTAATAATGGAGATTCTCTGCTCTGTCTCAGAAACCTTGACTCAGAATCATGGGGGCAGGCCTCGGAATCTGCATTTTCAGTCAGTATGTCTAACAGAAGCTGTCGATACTCCAGCCAGATCCCCATGAATCCTTTTTACTGCTTCTGTGTTTTAGGCTTGGACTTTGTTGTGTTTTTATCTTCAATCTACTTTACCTGCCACTCATTTTCAGTGTAGGGGTGGGGGGAAGAAATAATACCTAGGGGTTTATGACTCTCTCATCCCCCCTTGAGCCAAAGCCTATTGATGCTGAAGATGTGAGGCATGACTTATGCTCTAACTATTCTCTGAGGGATTGGGTTGAAGATACCTCCATGCCACTTTGCCCAAATAATATCCTTGCTTGTCACATTTCTTACAGAGGCCAAAGATTCATTATTTTTAGAGAGATTTTTTGCCATAGGATGTGTGCATGTGCCAGAAAGACAGAGAGACAGAAAGCAAGAAATCACTCCCCAGGGATGACCATGCTCCAATCTCTTCTCCAGTCTCCTCTTGGGATTTTGGATATGCATACATGAACACCCGGCCAGAGTTTTAAGCCACTGGGTCTGGGACTGGAACTATGGTCGACCATGTGGGAGTCCAGCAATGTAACCCTTATGCCATCTACTGGTCCCAATACAAAGGTTCTTATTCAAGTGATTTATTGGGGGAAGTTCTCTGAGGATGTGGATTTGGTTGGAGATATACTCAGCCTGGTTCCATGTGGGATCTCTGGAAGATGAGTAAGACTACAGATTTGGTTTTAATGACTTAGTCAGTCATTGCTCTTTGGTTTTGGGGATGAGGGGCAGGAGGCTGAGGTGGGGAGAGAAGAAATGTTCCATTCAGTTGAGGTTAGCAGTGAATCTTTTGCAGCCAACAATTACATATTCACAGTAGCTGGTCTAGTGAATAGACCTTATTGGCCACTATGACAGTTAATTTGTTGACTTGGCTAAGCTCTGCCCAGATGTTGTGTCAAATATCTATCTAGAGGTGGCTATAAAGGTATTTTTTGGATGTAATTAACATTTAAGTTATTAGACTTTGTGTAAAGCAGATTATATTCCATGATATGACTGGGTCTCATTCAGTCATTTGAGGGTCTTAAAAGACCAGGGTCCTCTGAACAGGAATTCAGATCTGGAGTGCAGTTAGGCTCAGACTGAAACCAGCTCTTCTCTGTTCTCCAGCCTGCTGGCCTTTGAAAACTTTTGGACTTGTCAGGCCCCAAATTTCATAAACCAATTCCTTAAACAAAAGCCTCTACTACATTTGGGTTCCCCCTACTCTATCATGCTCTCCATATTCCCTTGCTGGTTTATTCTGGGAGTATTTCTTCCATGAATCATTTGCATGTGAAACCTTTCTTCGGAATATGCTTCTGGAAGTCTCGATCCATGGCAGCATGCCTGGGAATTCTTTGCTACGTGAAAAATTGAGAAATAATTGCTTTAAAGCTTGTACCACATAGAGGTTGTTATGAAACAAAACTTCTCCAAATTCAGTAGCCTAGAACAATGATCTTTACTATTTTTCATGATTCTGCAGGTAAATTGGAAGTTATATAATCCAGATTGGGGTTAGAGAGATGGGAATGTGGCTACAAAAGTCTCATATGATCGCAGCAACTCACATTATTATCGGATGGGAAGTTGGATAGCTTCGTAATGAAATACTCAGTTTTTTGGGTCCAGATCCTGAAGGTTAGAGACCTGCCCTGAGAGGCAAACAAAGCCATAATCATAAGAAAAGTATGAAAAGAGAAGTTTTTAATAAAAAGAGACGATTTGAATAGAAAAGTGCACCCTACACCTGAAAGGTGCTTGACAGGCAGCTGTGAGGGAACAACTGCACTGGGAATTGGGTTGGGTGTTACTTTTACTGTGGGATCTTGTCATAGATACTTAGGAGGAGAGATCTGCCACTGTAGTCAGTCCTCTATGTTTTCGTGGGCACCTGCATACTTCTTACTAGGTAAGGAAACTTTATTGCCCCATTGGGGGAAGTCATGCTCATGCCCAGTGTGGACTTTGAAGTTGTGAGCATGTACATAGGGATAGTTTTGCCCAAATCAGACTATGACTAGGAGTAGGAGGTGGGATGTTAGCTGAGCATCCTGGAGACTGCCTGTGTGCATCTGTGGAACAGAGGAAGGGAAGATAGTAACCTTCTGCAACCTTCATCTCTTCTGAGGAAAGCTTAGGTAATAAAAAGTGAGATAAGCAAAGACAGAAGAGGGAGTCCTGTCGTAACCACTGACAAGCAGTGATTGGTGGCATGTCAGATGTCCCCTATATTGGCATATTGGAACTCCTTGCTCATATCTATCTGACTACATATAACAAAATCCCTGGGACCTTATGGACAACTTCAGGTATGGATGAAGTTGTTCTTGATTCAGGTATGTGCGAACCCAAAAGAAAAGCATTCTGTCCTTTAACACTTAATATATGATAGTTAAACACTGTTAGCGTGCAATAAATTCACCTATTCCAAAAGGAGAAGAGTGTTAAACACAGAGTCACTGGTTTACTGCAATTCTGAAGTGTCATGACAACATTGTTAGGTTCTCCCACTTTCAGGAGGGGAAATTTCCTGGACTGGATTTTGGTCCTGCTCCTTTGGTGTGGTCTCTGTTCATTGTTCTCTGTAGCTCCGGGCTTCTCCTTCATGATCTCTCCTTTTCCATAATTCAATCAACCACTTCAGAAATGGAATTGGAATATGTACTGCTAGCAAATTTTTAACCTTCTTACTTGGAGAAAGTTGGAGACGCACAGACATTTTACAACCTAAGCAGGGTCAGTCTGTTTGAGTTCAAACTGGTGGTACTTCTACCCAACAGCTCTCTGCATATATATTTGATTTGAGTTCATTCTATGTGCCAACCACACCAATTATTTTCTAGATTAGGGTTTCCTCTGTTGACTTAATTATTCCTGTTTTGGGCAGAACCATTCCCCACTAAGCTCTATAGAAGCCTTTTTGTGTATCTGAGAAGATCCTTATTTCTTCCAAAGGTCTTAATGAGAAATGGGCATCTTCCAAAGGTCTTAATAAGAAATGGGCTCTTTACCCTGAGGACACATCTTATGGCAGTGCCCTTGACTTGTATTCTCAGGACATACCTTACTACAAGAATCTTTTACTGGTTGGAAAGTATGGGTATGATGAAACGTTTTCTTTTTCACACTAGCTGCTTCTTGCTGGTTCCTCCCAGTTATGTTTGAAAATCTGCGTGTTCTTTCTTGAGTTTCTCTCTCTTCCAGTACCTGATCACAAACAGCTGAAAGAAGCCAGCTGATGCTTTTGGCATTCTGTCTGGAGATCTCCTTGGACAAGCTCAACTGTTTACTAGGTACATTTTCTATCGTCCAAGTTACCATAGATGACTGTTTAACTAAGTGTTTCGTGTCTGCATAAAACAAGACACCATGTCCCTACCTCCTACATGTTTCCTAACCATTCTAATAG